AATGAATTGTTTAAAAGCAGAACTGTCACCCGGCGCTCGGCTTCTGACCCACTGACACTACTTCACATCCATGTTGATTGGACCTACCGGACGCCATGGATGGGCAAAGAAAAGCGTCATTCGGGGGGCACCACGGACGCACCTCTAACATTCTCGTTTGCATCTTGGATGTCTGTCTCTTCCGCTAGTAATCTACACTCCAGGGTCTGGGAAACTACTGTCTGCACGCCAGCTCCAGGCCACAGCCTACGAATTAAGAATAGTTTTTACATTTTTAAATGGATAGAAAAAGTAAAAAAGAATATTTCGTGACACCTGAAAATTATACGAAATTCAAATTTCAATGTCTGTAAGTCAAGTTTTATTGGAACACAGCCATGTGCATCTGTGTACTGTCCTTTTCACGGTACAACAGCAGGGCTGACCAGCTGCAACAGAGACCATACGGCCCTCAAGGCCTAAAATACTTACTATTTGGTGCTGAACAGAACAAGTTTGCAAACACCTGCTATCTTGGACTGTGCTGTCCCAGATTTCCTCTGCAACATAATGTTATGAGAAACATATGCTGTTTTTATGACCATGTGAAAGGAAACTGATTTTTAACAATAAACTGCTTATGTAATAAACATCTTGTTTCCCAAATATACCCCACAGTTTTCATATCCTCTCTGAACTGACATGCTTTCGTCACACTGCTGGCTCCTCTGTTAGCAAGTTAATAGGTGTTGATATGTGCTCGAGAGCAACTTGTCAAAGAAACGTTATTTTTGCACATTCTCGGTGGAAAAGAGGGTTCACATCTCCAAAAACCAGATGTGACCAAGAGAACGCAGCACATGACTGACGAAGGGAAGAAACAGAGGTCGCTTCTGACCAGTGTTGTCAGTGAAGATGCACCCAGGTCCCTCAGGCCTCAGCCTCACTCCACTGCTGCCGTGACAACCACCAGCCAGACCACCTCGTGTCTACCGAGGGCTCACCACGTGTCGGAACCTGGGGTAGGCACCCTCCACGTGCTGTTCCATTTCATCCTCACAATACACCTGAGAGGCAAGTCCAACCACGACCTCCATCTTACAGACAAGGGAAGCGAAGCCCAGAGAAGCCAAGCATCTCACTCACAAAGTCAGTACACACAGGATGGTGACACAAGGACACGTGGCCAGGGAAGACGAGGACACCAAGGCCTCTTGAATCCACTTCCCTATTCTGAGTTGGGTGATGAGAGTGTTACTCTCAGGACCCTTGGCCTGTCCATGCCGGGGGCTGATTTATTCTGCTGCCGCTCTGACCGTAAGGCTCTGACCGGTGACGGGGCGGGGTGGAGTTTCCTGACTTTCTCCTCACATTTCCCCCCACCTTAACCCCCCTTCATCTGTTGTATTTACTGCAAATACCTTTCCTAGTTGGTTATTTGCCTTTTAGAGTTTTTTTCCTATACCTAAAAAAAGTCTTGTTTAAAGAATCACATAAGCTCATGCTGAAAAGTAACAGCAACATCACGAAACATCAAGTTAAAGATGAGGCTCCTCCACCCCACAACCATGTCCACTTTGCAGACACTGCTGACAGGAGAGAAGGTGTTACCCTGTGGGACAGCCACGCACTGCATCTTCATCATCTCAGAGATACTTCGAATGTACCCACATCTTTTTTGTAACTTTTTTCACCGTATTTAGGTTTAGAAAAGTCCTCCCTAGGGGACAGGTGTATGGGGCTGCTGTTTTCTCTTCACAGTAAAAGGGATTAAAAAGAAAAACTTCATGCCCAAAATATTCCGGGTTTTCACTAGAAACTGTAAATCTACTTTCCACCTTCAATTTGAGGCATTCTATACCAACTCAGCTGCCTGCACTTTCTGCCCCTGACGGGAATTCCTAAATTAGCCATCATCTGGTTTACTTCCAGAGTGTACAATCCATTCAGCCGTCATCTTTACGAAAGCCCGCCAGCTGGAACAGAGCACTAGCCTCAGTCAGGGCCACATCAGAAGCCCTGTCTGCAGGCTTCCTGTGGCTGCTTCCCGACAGGCATAAATGTGCCAGGCAGGAAGTTACTTTATTGCCCAGACGGACGACTCAGGAAAGGCCTTTTGGAGTTCTGTCCCTGCCCAGCCCACTACCTTCCTCCCCAGCCTCTCCTTGCAGTACAGGTGGGGCCCAAATGCTAATGGACACTCCTGCAAACACACCCTGTGGGCACAGGACACTCAGAGCTGAGTGGGCTGAGACGGGGAGGGCAGGACAGGAAGGTGGGAGAAGGAGCAACTGGTGGTTTGAGACAAAGAAAACAAAGGCTCTGCGCGCCATCCTCCTCCTGGTGCCCGCAGGGGGCTGGCGCCGAATTGTGCGCTGGGCAGGTCTGAGTTGAGAGCTTGAGGCTGCATGGCCACCGTGGGGGCAGACTAAGGAGTTCCCTGGGGAAAGGTCTATATCTGCCGCCATCCAAGAAAGAACCGGCCCCAGGATGTGGCCAGGGCCTGTGGGGGTCCCCTTGGCAAACGTGGAGTTGAGGCTCCTCCCCTCTGGGACCAGACCCCCGGTGTTCAACCTCACTGGTGCATGTACAAACAAGTGGGGAAACTGCAAAGTGTGTGGGTCAAATGCTCGAGTTGATTCATATGTCGTGGCAGCCCTTTCACTGGGAGTTTCAAGGGTGGTTTCTGAAACCTACTGCTCCTGAGCTCCAACTCCACTGCCATGAGGGGCTGCACAGAGCTGCTGAGCTCGCCTGCTCTTGAAATGTGCTGCCGTCCACCAGGTAGAGATGGGTCCAGCAGGAGACACCAGGCACCACATGGTGTCTGCTTTCTTTCCCCTCTTCCTGCATGTCACCAGAGAGCCAGGGTAGCAGGACGTGGGAGTGAGCAGCTGTGGGACTCAGGCACACGTGCAGAGGAGAGCGCTCCTGAGCCCAGACTCCCAGCCCAGCAGCCTGGAAGGCCAAACCCTGGCAGCCGTCTGCTTCCACCACTATCAGCCCTGTGGCCTTTCTCTTGGGGAAATTACTCTCCAAGACTGTTTTTTCCATCTGTAAAATGAGGCAAGTAAGGGGTGATATGAAGATGAAATGAAGTAACAAATATTAGATTGATACAAACATTTCATTAAAACTGCCGGATTAACCTAAAAGGGTTAATTCCAGGATGTCTGAAAGCAAGGCGCCTGGTGGGTCAGCTGGGGATGGAGCTGTGTCCTTTCAGAAGTTATCCAACGAGAGCAAGTGTGGTTCCAGTGAGTCCTGAATCCAGGCCTTGCCCCAAACAAACACAAGACAAATTGCTCTCCTCCCTTCCCCAAAACAAAAGAGCCCAGCAAGGAGCTGCAGACCCACAGCCTACAGCAGCTCCGTCACCAGGAGGACTTACCTGTGCCGGGTGCTGTTCAAACAACTTCACCCTTGCTTCCTCCTCACCCTACTCCACGGGCTCTGTGCCCGCCCCCCGGGGGACACCTGTGGAGAAGTGAGGGAGCGTGACCAAGACACACAGCTTTGCACGGGGGAGCTGGAGCCCGAGACCAGGTGGACACTATGCCCAAGGAGGTGGAGAACAGTTTCAACAAACAAGTGCTCAGCTGGCCTTTCTTGTGACGTAAGCAGTCTCAGAGAGAGGACGGTCTCAGAGCAGCATGGTCTCAGTGCTGCGCAGCGCCAAGTCAGTGCACCCAAGCGGCCTTGCCCAGCAGAGGCCCGCCCTGTGTCTCCCTTGAGTGTAGACTTCAGGAAAGCCTCTAAGCCAAGGGCACGAGGAAGCCCCGTGCTTAGTCGCCTCCACAGCTCAGATCCACTCCCAGGAGGCGCCTTGGAGGCTGTCAAAAGAGGACACACTAAATAACAAAAGTGATCCTTATGGCACATTAAAAACTGGGCTAAGAGGCCCTCTGTGAAAAGGGAAGACCTACAGATCAGTTTCACTTGCACAGAGAGCAGACCCAGCCTCCCTCAGGACCACGTGTGCCCTTGTGCCCGCTGCGCACAGCCTCTGCCCGGCGGCTCTGACTGGGCCGTGCTGTCAGCAGGCTCTCAGCCCCCGATCCTTTCTCTACTATAGTCTGGTCACTGAAGTCACATTGACCCTGCACCTGTTTGGCTTGGCCTCTTCCACAAAAGCTGAGATTTCAGGGCTGTCAGGTTCCCGTAGTGCAGTGCTTTTCCAGGCAGATTGCTCCTGATGTGGTTTCCTCTGATTCAGGTGAGGAAAACACCATCCTGACCCCTCTCCCAGAGAAAGTCTTCTCACAAGGGCTTTGACAAACAAGGAAGACTTGGGTCAGTCCCAAGAGCTTCCACGGCTGAAGATTCAAGGGTCCAGGACCCAGAAGTAAACTATCTCAGGGCTGTGGAGAGGTGGGCATGGATGCTTCTAGGATGCACCTATCAATGGAGGGATGACACCAGGTGCTCTGAGCACTAGCTCCTCCCTGTCAAGTGTGTCAGCAGGCAGCCTCCTAGAGCAATACGACTTGGCTTTATTCCAGAAAGAACTTAAGACTGACGACAGAAACTGCAAGGAGGGAGCTTACATTAAAAGTGGGAAGTCTTCCTCCAAGGCCTGTGCTCAAATCACTTCTATCACCTCAAGGATTTTTCAGACACTGAGTCAATGGCTTCAGGTCCACTATGTCCAACTCAACTTCCTCCTATTACCCTGTGGAGACCGAGGCATCCAGCCCTGACAATAAACTGCTCTCCCAGCTCCTCCCCACGACTCCAGGAGGGGCAGAACCATCGTTCTCTGTTATTCCTCTCGGCTGGGAGCAGGGAGCAGGGAGCACGCGACTATCAGAACCATCAGGTCCAGTACAGGGCGCGGTTAAAGCAAATCTTTACAACAGGAGTAGCCAATTAGCAAATTCAGCGATTACTCCTCTACTTATATTTGTACGGTCCTTAACCTTCCAAGTTATGGCTTGAATATAGGTTTCAACTCATGACTATGTGGACTGGTCCATTGCTATTTTATGAAATACATGATATGAAATTAAAAAATACTCATGGAAACATAAAGCATTTGTTTATTATTGCTATAATCAAGGCAAAATCTCTTAAAACAACTGGCCTTGATAATGGAAGTATAATCAGAACCATTATTCATGAATTCACAGTTTGTTCTCCTCTGCTGTTCAGACTTCACGGTTTCACACATACGATCTACCACAGACCTTTATTACACAAGAGGAAGAATGAACTTGGAAGTCACAAAGCATGGCTTAACCACTTCCTTAGTCACCTGACTTCAGATCAATCACTTACTGTGAACCTGTTTCATCCTGTGTTTAAAAAAAAATGGGAGGGGAGGAGGGGCCAGAATGAACCCAGCCCCTTGGAGGCTCCACTGAGAAAACACGGGTGATATCTGAGAGAACATAAAGGAAATCACCCTGTATACTCGAAAAAATTATACAAAATAGAATATCACTAACAACAGTGGTTCGAACTCCTGCAGGGAGGGGCAGGAACCCTCACTAAAGTCTACATTCCTGGCAGCCTGCGTGACAGTCACTGAGAATCTGAAATCCTGGGGACAGGACAAAGGATATTAATGACCAAACCTCCAAACTCACTAAGGAAGGACCTGGCCTGACAAGCCACGTAATACGGACCCAGCTTTACCCTAGAAACACTTTGTCAGTTTTATTTTACCTTAATATACATCTGTACAGGCAATAATAAAAAGGTTATTACACAACAATTCAGTGAGTTTTACCTAGTTTCAAGAATAATGCATGCAGTTACAAATGAGAGGTAGAAACACTGTATTAAAGACCTAAAAATACAAACATCATATAAATAAATGTTCAAATTAATTGCTGGAATTTCATAGAGATAAATAAGGTAAAAATTACATTACTTTGTCAAAGTAAAGGAAAACCATATTTTGTTTGTTTTTATCAGTACACTAAAATTAGGTTAATGCCAAAGAGTTTCTGTGCAATTCGTCAGAGTTCAGATTATATTACCTAAAGGGATTAAAGTAAAAAGATTAAAACTGGAGAATGGTTTATTCAAGTATTCAAGCAGGTAAGTAAAAGAAACCAAGTAACATACAATGTAGGAACCATTTCTGGAGGGACGTTAACTGCCTGCATTCTCCATGACTAGCTGTTTGGTGAACTGTCAGGATTAACATGAAAAATACACATTAGGCTGAAGAGAGCTGCCCATTTTCCTAATAGAAAACAAACCTCATTTTTCACTAACTTCATGTAGAAACTCCACATCACTAACAAGCCTTCAGATCACCAACTTTGTTTTGGCCCTATTAAAACTCTTGAGAGAATCTCTTGACTGATATTTTTTCTAACACTGCCCAAATAAACCCAGCCTTTAATAAACCTAGAGGTCACAGGCATCAATGCACATTCTACATGCACAAAAAATGCAACCAAAAGCAAACAACCAGCAACTCAAAAATATTGCTGAGAAGATCTGCAGGTGTAGATGAATAGGTTAAAAAAATGCGAAGGTTCACATGAACACAAGTTTTTACCATTGAAAAGTTCACTAGAGATTACATGTGAATTCTGGAAAGGGTACGTGTATATAATCAAGTAAAATATTTTAAACAAGTCCATTGTGCCGCAGTTAGTTTTAAATTGCAAAATCCAATACACGGTTGTTTTAATAAATTAGTGCAATATGAAAGATTTTGGAAGATTAACATGTGTCCATATTAGATCAAATTGAAGATTTCACAATTTCTTCCAAGAGCCATCTTTTGCTTCTTCTTAAGCTATTTCTTCCTGAGGTGGTTAAGGATGCATGCTCAGATTTAGACAAACTCACCCCACATATCAAACTGCCTGGATGAGATGTAGGTTTTTTTACTTTTATACCTCAGTAAACACGTGGAATCTCACACACTGCTCTGGTAAACTGAGTGAAGAGCCACTCACTTTGTTTCCTTCTTAATTATCCTTAAGAATAACTGTACTGATAATTCTAGTTCTAAGGTGCATTTATTTACCAAGTTCAAACTGAGAGCCAAGTGGAATACTCTTGTGTCTGCTTCTACAAAGAAAGAGGGAAGGGGTAGCTTCTCCGATAAGGCAGATTTCCTACAAATATGTAGTTTTTGGATTGTTTTTCCTTTTTGAAATCACTGCTTGCTCTTTGGTAGTCACCAGGTAAGAAACTTCAGTTTCCTGGGGATGGGACAACAGAATCCAAGCTACACTCCCAGCCGTATCCCCTCATACTGGTCCATGGGACAAGCCTGCTGCCGCTCACATGGTTGAGGCGCTATAGCAGAGTGCTGACAATCTTCTTTCAATACTAGATTTATCTAGAAATAAAAAAATTCATAATGAAAATCATTATATTTTTAAAACCAAGGAAAGAAGAACTAATAAAAAAAAATCACTAATTCTCTACCTACGTCCTCATCTCTGTTCCGTCTTTGCCCCAAAGTTAACAGTTCTGAATATTTTTCTTCTTTCTGCCTGGTAATTGTTTAGATACGATTTCTAGCTTGGTGCTGCACAGTGGTAAAATTTAGATTAGCATGTCAAATAAAGAACATTTAGGTTTTAACAGCTAGCTTGCTGGCTGGCCCTGTGGCTTGGTGGTTAAGTGCGCGCGCTGCAATGCTGGTGGCCCGGGTTCGGATCCCGGGTGCGCATCGAGGCACCACTTCTCCGTCCATCCTGAGGCCGAGTCCCACATACAGCAACTAGAAGGATGTGCAGCTATGACATACAACTATCTACTGGGGCTTTGGGGGGAAAAAATAAAATAAATAAAATCTTAAAAAAAAAAAAAAAACAGCTAGCTTGCTCACAATTGCAAATAATTTTAGAACCGCCATCCCCATGTGGCTCTTCAAAATGTGGTATGACCACATCTACTCCAAGGGGTCCACCATTCCTCTTCAATAACCAGACCAGGGGGCTTATATGTGATAAGTGATAATACCATCCTGGTGTGCTGTCAGTCTCCACTCTGCTGTCTATACCAAATCTGAAGTACACAGGGTCTTCACAGGATTCTTCAGTCACTAAGCCCACAAAGCTTAAAATAGTTGCATTATTATTTAATAATAAAAACAAAGTTCTCTACATACACGAACACACACCCACCAACACAGTAATGCAGTGCAGAAATCTAAAGACTGATGACAAAAGCGATGAGTACTTTACAAGCATTATCTCTAATCCTCACAACAACCACGCAAGGCAGGCATTGTTCCCTCATCTTTTAGAAGAAGAAACTGAGACCACAGAAAGGATAAGTAATTTGCCCAAGGTTGGAAATCCAAGATTCAAACCCAGGAGTAGGATTCCAAACCCCAAGCTCTTCCTACTGTACCTGTAGCAGACAACTAGATTGCACTCAACAAACACACTACTTTCTAAGTCAACTTACATTTATGTACATTTTCAATATCTGCAGGGTCCTGGAGAATCTTAGTGAGGCCTTCCAAAAGAAGGGCTGCTTTATGATAGCGATAAACAATATCTTCAGTCTGCTGAAACATCTCATCCAGGGCTGCAGATTGAACCTAGAGTCAGTCAACAAAAACGAGAAGATTCTCAACTTTTCCAAAATACAAATCCATTTGGACAATGCAGCTTTAAATGGAATCTATCTAAAATTAACACATTTTGACAAAATGACATAATCTACCAAACTATATAAAACTTAAAGATTCACCAGATGAGTGATATAAAGGAGCTTCTTGACAAGAGTTATTCTGCATTCAAACATAGCCTTCTCATACTCAGAGCTTCATGACTCATAAAATTTATACTTGTGAATTGGCTCTTCTATGACTTCATAGAAGCTTATTTTAAAAAAAAAAAAACTTATTTTAAACATACACTTTCACGCTAGAGTAACCTGGCATTTCATTAAAGTAGATTTTGTTAAGTAAAGTAATTAATGTTAAAAGCCACTTATCAGCTGCTTCTTTTAGTTAAAGAATTTTCTCCTGTAGTCATTCATTCATTCAGAGATACTGACTGAGCACCTACTAAGTGCCAGGCACTGAGCATACAATGAAGGAGAGCTCACAGTCTAGAGGGAGATAGAGGCCTGCAAAACATGCTATTTAAATTCCAAGGGATACATGGTATTACAGGAGGAAGCCCCAGATGTTACGGAATATATATGAGGTGCATCTAACCCCACTATGGAAGGAACAGAAGGTTAGGGAAAGCCTCCAGGAGGTGACGTTTGGGCCAAGACATAAAGAAAAAGTAGGAGCTAGCCAGGCAATGGGAAAGGCGGGTAGGGGCTTTCCAGAAAGAGAGGACAGCAGTATTATTCATGGAGTTATGAGTATTTGAGGAGTTTCCCAACAGCTTTTTGATTTTCTCTTTAATCATTAAATGCCAGGGACTGTCAGTAATTCAGTATCCTAATTTACTTGTCAATATGCTCTGTCTCTTTGAAAAAATAACTTAAAGCCATTTACAATAAGATAAATAAAATGGATACAGAACATCAGAGCCATGAAAAGGAAGACGAAATAACTAAACCTAAGTGTTAATATCTCTAAGCATGCTTATGATGGGGTTCAGGGCAGGCCGCCCCAAAATACACCACTTTGGCATATTAATTATTTTGAATTAAAGTTACTTAAGAAACAGCCAGTGCAAGCAGAACACTCTGACCCTCCCCTGTCCCCCTGAAAGCAGGAAATCAATCTCCCATGTGAAAGGTACCCTCCCTGCATCAGGAAGTAGACAGACATCCTTATCATCAGAGACAGGGAATTCAGGGCCAAGAAGGCTGTGTAAACAAATTCTGCTTAGCTTCCTCACTAATTAGGATCCAAGCCTAAGCGTCTTTGTCTTGTCACATCCTCATAAATTTATTATTTCTTTGTCTAAACGGTACAAAAGCTGCCTGCTTTGGTCACTTCTTTGGGCCTCGTATTCTCATGGAGCCCTTGTACGTACGAAATTAAATTTGATTTTCTCCTGTTAATCTGTGTCCTGTCAATTTAATTATTAGACCAGTCAGAAGAACCTAGGAGGGCAGAGGAAAAATTTTTCCTCCCCAACACTAAGCAGCCAGGGCAAAAAGACCAATTTATTGAAGTTACATGGCTCTTATCATCAGAAAAGAAAGAAGCGCTATAATTTCTTATGAGATGACACTTTTCTTGGCACAAATTTCTAAAAAAAAAATTTTATCACTTGAAGTCTTAATTCAGTACAGAGTGATACAATGCATATTATTCATGTCAATAGTTTATAGCAAAATAATGTATATTATTCTTACCAATAGTTTATATTCCAAAGTTATTTTCATATGACTTTTTATTATAACAGTTTTCAAAATAAGGCCAAGGGTGTAATATAACAGTACAATTCAAAGTAGATAAATTTTGAGGGGAGGAGGGAGGTCTATTATGTTAATGTGGTAAAAATAAGATTGGTCAATAATTAATTTTTTCCCCCACTTAACCACTTAACTTTTTTAACAGTCCCTAACTTCAACTATACTTTAGAGAAATTTTTTCCCCATGAGACAGAAAACAATTTCCAATAGTATAACCAGACAATTGGAAAAGCAGATTTTACTTTGTGTCTATACTTCAATAAAGTCAGTAAGCAGAATCTGAGCACACGAATTTTTGCGGTTAACAGAGCAGTATTTTTTTTAATGTTTTATCAAGCCAAATTTCTTCAATAGTAGAAAATGCAGAAATAGATTCAGCTAAAGCTTTTAGATGCAAACTATAAAAAGATTAAATCATGCCTAACATTAGCAATTTTTAAGAGGCATAATAAAATTTTACCAAATGTAACCGTTACTTAATGTGTCACTTAAATGTTAACTAAGTCCAATTACTCCTTTAGTAAGAGGTAATCACGGTACTTGGGACTTGGGAGTGGTAGGGCATAAATTCTTTTTAAAAGGATAATGTCAAGTAGGTATTCAATTCAAAAGATACTCTTAAAGATAAGTAGTACTATAAAATATTAAACCTTAAAAACGGTTACCATTTCTACAGCACAATTATAGATGAGTTTCTCTGCAGTTACGCTGTTGATTTCATCAATAAATCTCTGTTTGTCCGAGAAGAAACGATTCAGCTTTTCTGTAAGTTTCTTGCACATGGTGATGCAGAATTTATATCGTTCATTCAGATTTTTGACAACTGAAAAAAAGTTGAGATGAGAATTTTAATTTTCCTCCAGAAATAAAGTCACAGTGACATGCACTTTTCCTGCTGATTTAAAGAAAGTGACACTAAATGATCATTGAAAAAAATGACCGGAAATCAGATTCTTTCAAATGTTCTCTCTTTCAGTCAAGAAAAGATTGAGAATAAAAGCACTTCTGACTGCTCTCTGTATCAATTAAACGGCAAAAACAAAAACAGAAAAGCCAGCATCTTTTCCCACTTAAGAATATTTAATTACACAGTGATTCCTCATCAAAAACTTCCTTTCTTAGTGTAATGGCAAAGGGGCAGCTCCAGCACCCCGGGAGTCACACAACGTCACACTCCAGCCTTACCTTGTTTCACAGCTGTGGATGGGCTCAGCTTCCCAGACTTGACCTGGGCTTTGGCGAGATGCAGAGACGCTGCCAGCAGCTGTGCTGCTTTCATGTATAACACCAGCTGCTCCACCCGCCTGCACCCGGAAGACAGCAAGCAGTGTTACCTTGTGAACCAACACGCCAGACGCGGCTCTCCACGCATCAGGTCACCACTAAAATAGCCTTTCTAAGGGAATATCCTTCTCCTTGATATTTTCTAATGCACAAATAACTCCTGAAAGGAGAAGGTTTGGCCTGGAAAAACACGTGTCTATTTTGAATACAACAGATACACTCAGATAAAATCAATACAATCCCTTTACCATCAAATATCTTCAACAGTATAAATTATAGGGAAAAGGCAATGCTATGGTTGCAGAATCTCTAAGTCTTGGCTCATACAGTGAAATCTAGTACAATGAAATAACAGAGACTCCTTCGCAGCTTTTAATAATGAGACATGATCTTCAGTGGATGACAAGTCCTCTATTTCAGACACAAATTTACAGAAAGCAAGAAGACTCTGGAAATGAATGACCAAGGGGCACCTACCCCCAGTCTTTGCTCAGTTGGCTGATCTGGTCCACAACCACACTCTCCTGGATCTGGTACAAGGAGACAGCGGACGTGCACAGCTCTGGGTTCCCTCCTCGCACAGCTGTCAGGTCCAGCACACACTCAGTGAACATCAGCATCACATTCAGGTGGCGTAAGGTGTCTGTGTGTTCTCGCTGCGGCAAAACCAATTAGTCTTAGAAACTTTCAGGTTAAGAAGAGGTGCATACTCATTTCTGCATATAAACCATGGCCACCACTAATGTTTTTCTACACTTATGAATATCAGAATGATCAGAAGAGATTGAGATTTTTATTTTTTATTTTTTTTTTTTTTTAAAGATTTTATTTATTCAGTTTTTCCCCCCAAAGCCCCAGTAGATAGTTGTATGTCATAGGTTCACATCCTTCTAGTTGCTGTATGTGGGACTCGGCCTCACGTTGGACGGAGAAGTGGTGCCTCGGGGCGCGCCCGGGATCCGAACCCGGGCCGCCAGCATCAGAGCGCGCGCACTTAACCGCTAAGCCACGGAGCCGGCCCGAGATTGAGATTTTTAAATTCCAGAAAACTAGTGAGAAGATAAACACAAATGAAACCAAATATAGGCATGTGCACGTGTTTGTGTGTATGAGAGCACCCACACAATTAAGCTTCAAAGATATGAAGTCACTGTGCTTTTACCAGTAACAAATGAAGTACTAAACAAGTAAATCAATATACATGAGACAAAAACATGACAAAATAGATACCAAGATTATAAGGATACTCTGCACACTAAACCACACTTCTTGATATCTTAGTGAATTCTACTGAATTATAATTTCAGAGATCCTTTATTTTAATTTCTGCTGGTTTTTTAGTTAACAGTGATTTCTAATATCAATGCTCTAAATTTCTGTGATCTTTTAGTTAAAGAGGGGAGGACAGATAGACATAATAGTGTGCATTAAAAACAGGTATTCTAGGGGCCGGCCTAGTGGCGTAGTGGTTAAGTTTGCGCACTCCGCTTCAGCGGCCCAGGGTTCACAGTTCGGATCCCAGTGTGGACCTATGCACCGCTCGTCTAAGCCACACTGTGGCAGCGTCCCACATACAAAATAGAGGAAGATGGGCACAGATGTTAGCTCAGGGCCTATCTTCCTCACACACACACACACACACACACACACACACACGAAAAGGGTATTCTAATATTAATGTTGTTCTGAGATTTGTTTTTAGCTATAAACGTATTTTGAAATATGAAATAAGACTAAGTTTCTCATTCTCCTTTCAAAGTTAAAAAAGGATGAGAATCATTTTCCTAGAGACAGGAGAACCAACCAACCAACTTTTGAAAGTCTCTCTGTTCAATGACAGCATATTGGACTACATGTTCCAATGCACTGGAATACATATTGGGACATAATTTATGTCTAATATGATGGAGACTGAAAAAATTCTGAAGATTGTTTTTCCAATCTTAAATTGGATTACATACATTTCCAAAATTACTACTAAACTTACTAAAAAATCACTACTAAAATTATGCATGCAATATTTTATAACTTTTATATGAAATATTTAATTCTCATTCACACAAAGTAGAAATGTTAGAGTTCCAGCACAGAGAGGGAATTTGCTCTGTAGTTGGCCTGGAAAATTGATCATCTTAATGAAATACAGGCTAAGTTAGCATTGTATTCAGTGACTGGGGACACAGTGCAGTCCACTGAATGCTGCCCTCGAGTCGAGACTGGGGACCTGAGCTGGCACAGTCTTTGGAATCATAAAGTTAACATCTCTTGTTCTAGACTCAGCATGCTTCAGATTATAATGTGTTTTTCCCTGTAGAACTGGCTCCATGGAGGGAAGGTACTGGTCTACAAATGTGAGCATCTAGTCTGCTTGGCAGGTTTATTTCTCTCAGTGTTAGCGACTAATCTGGCATTACGGTTTATTTTTTTTTTAAACCTAAGTTTAAGCGTATTATTTTTATCTTATAAAGAAAAGCAAGCTTTGAGAATAAAACGTTATGGTTTTAGGACAAAGATTATGCTTTACAAGTCCAATAAGCAGTAAATAAACTTCAGGTAAAAAATTAAGAACACAAAATCTATGCGTGTCACTTCCTATCAACCAAAGCTAGTTATGGATGAGTATCATTGTCAACATTATTCTGAAAATATATCAGCAATACTTTTCAAATACAAAAGAAAAGAAAAGTTAAAGAGAAGAAAAAAAACTTCAGAACTTTCTATAGTATTTTGCTCTTTCGCCAACACTAGAACATTCTCCTACGGTATCAACATTACGATGACATCGCACAATGGTCTTTCTCTACCTCCATCAGTGTCTCCTCTGGCAGTTCAGGGGCTTCAAAGGTGATGAGCCCCTCTAGGCTAGGGGGTGAAGCACCATAAGGCATGTATCTCAGGCTGGGAGCTGTCTCTGCTCCCGGAGGGGAAGACCCCGGGCACGGCCCAGGCGGGGAGCCCACACACACGCGGCCACTCGCAGAGCACAGGGAACCTCCGGAGCTGCTGGAGCCCACTGCAATGAAACAGGACAGGTGGCACCGTGCCCGGAGTGAGCGCACAGAGTTAAGGGCTTCTGCCCACTCCTACTATCAAAGGAACAAAGGAAACGCTAAAAGGAAAGTCACTGACCCCCTATTTGAGCACATGAATAGGTTTTATTTTTCCATGTTCACCTTTATTTCTTGTCTATATGTTTATTTTGCAGACATCATCACAGCCAGTTTTTAAATATTGTTTTAAACAAATTTATAGCATATATATTTCTCCCTGTTGCTCCACAGTCTTCATAATTATAAAACTTGATGAATGCATAGTAGTTCACTAAATTTATATATGTGATGCTTATCTGGAGGCATTTATACTATTTCTGATTTTTTTATACCAGAAATAACGAAATCTGCAGCTTTCCTTTCTTTTGAATGATTTGTGATAAATACTGCAAAGTGGTATTATAAAACAGGAATGGGATTACCATAGATTAAATATTATAAACATTTTCACAGCTCTCTGTAAGAACTGCTATGCTACTTTCTAAAGCAGCCATGAATAAGCACACAGATCCCACTAAACCTCAACAACACTGGGCAGTATATATTTTTCTAATGTTGGCTTAGTCAATAGGTATAAAATGTTATTTTCTTAAAATGGTATTTTATTATTAATACTTTTCGTAATCTTAAAAACAAGATCATTAGCTCTACTTCCTCTCTCGTTATCTATTTATATCCTTTGCTTATTAATCTACTGATATCTTGATTAATGACTTATTTAGCATAAGAGAACTTAAAGGACACAAGGTACAACACATAAGATGAGGTCAATGATAACTCACTGCAGTCTAATCTAAATACTTTCTTCATGTTTAGTTTCATAACCTGTCTACAGAGTATGGATGACAACACCAGCCTATCAGCTGTCTCAGTGTACACAGGGCTAAGTGCAAAGATGGGGACCCAAAGCACAAAACAGGTTAAAACTTAGGATTCTAAAACAACAAAACAAAGATAAACAACCTATCATTTTCAAAAAATTTACTGGATTTACTAAAATAAGCCTTTAATATAAGCTAAGAAGCACCATATATCATAGCTGCTTCATCATGAAGTCACATTTATATTATAATGCTATAATATTATACATTATTATAAATAGATAATGTGGCACTTTAAGTTTTTTTTTTTTCACGAATATTGCCTCATTTACTCCTTATAACCCTTAAGGTAAAGAAAATAGTTAACTCCACTTAACCAGAGAAGTTAAGTTACTTATCTAAGTTACACCATTAAGTCATTATCAGAACACTACACCCCAAACACTAGCCAAACATTGTAATAAGACAGTTCTTCACCTGAGGTTGTTCTTGTTCGAAGGACCATATGGGTACAAGTGGGGGCTGTGGCACTGTGTGGAGGAGATCCAACAGTGAACAGGACAGCCCTGGAACTTGCTGCTGTTCCTACAGGAGGCGCCAGCACAACACCACAGGCTCCTGCAGGGGCTACAATAACAAGTTACTTTGACAGTGCTTCTATCTGGGGGTGGGATTATAAGGAGACCTTTACTTTTATATTAGGGTGTTTTGTTTTTTTTTACAATAAGCATTTATTACTCTTATAAATCAGAAAATTCAATAGAGATCTCCATTAAAAATATTTTATAGTAACTCTTCACATCAAAGCCTAGTTATTTAGAATTATTTCTGTATACTCCTAAAATACGTGAACTGCAGTCACACCTTTTGAGGATAATTTGAAAAAGTGGAAACCAAGAACTGGGAATAAAAACGTGAGGTAAAGCTGAAGGGAGATCAGGAGTTGCCATAGCAACAGAGCTTTAGGAAAAGTCAGAGTCCATTACTCCTCAGAACTGCACTTAGATGTGTCAGGAAGAAAAGGAAGTGGGAAAGGTGTCACAGGGGCCTAACAGGCTGAGCTTGGGATAAATCGAGAGAAGGTGAAAAATCCCCCAAGCACTAAACTAAGAGGAATCAATAAAAGTTGTCCAAAGCTTTTTCACATCAAGCATCTGAAAAACATGACATTTCTGAATGTCAGAATGGAGGTAGGTAGAGCCACCAAATCAGATAGAGAAAAGAATTGCCTCTCGGCCGTCCATCTTATCTGCAACAGAGCACAACAAACTTAAAGCATCTAATTAACAGAAGAGAGAGTTCACAAAAATCTTCTAGGGAGCACAGGAACAGTAAGTGGGAGTTAATTAAACATACCTATCATTACACAAGATGTATAAAATGAGATATTCTCTTTATTTAATGTAATCTTTATGATTTTTAGTAGGCATAAAAAGTATTTAAAGATGTTCACGGGTATATTTTAAGAGCCAATGACCCTATTTTTTTCTAAGATCTTAAGTTTTTCCTACTATCAAGAATTTTTATTTTCAGAAACTGAAACTTCATGATTAGAAAGAGAAATTTATAATTTCAAATAATGATGATAAAGTACACACGGAAGAGAGAAAGGAAGAAGACAATAAAAATTATCAAAGATGCATCTTATGCCTAAACATTCTTTAAGAAAAAAATCTGCAGGCTGGCCCCGTGGCTGGGTGGTTAAGTGCGCGCGCTCCACTACTGGTGGCCCGGGTTCAGATCCCAGGCACGCACCAACGCACCACTTCTCCAGCCATGCTGAGGCCACGTCCCACATACAGCAACTAGAAGGATGTGCAACTATGACATACAACTATCTACTGGGGCTTTGGAGGGGCGGGGGAAGGAGGAGGATTGGCAATAGATGTTAGCTCAGAGCCAGTCTTCCTCAGCAAAAAGAGGAGGATTAGCATGGATGTTAGCTCAGGGCTGATCTTCCTCACACACAAAAAAAAAAAGAAAGAAAAAAATCTGCTTTCACATCCATAAACTTGGACTTAAATTATAACACATACTCACATAGAACTTATAAGCTCTAAAAAATTTAAGTTTACTTGTAAAGGAGAATGAGACATAATGTGGTCATTTAGGCAAGCTGTTTTGAAAAATTATCCCAACTCCTCATGACTTAGTGACTTTTGGTAAAAGGCACATAGAAGAAGAACGACTTCCAGAATGGCAGTGTGAAGTACCAAGGAGCACCACAGACCTGCGCCCAGTGAGACAACCGTAACTAGTGAAAATTATTGTTTTTTATTTATATTTTTGGTGAGGAAGATCAGCCCTGTGCTAACATCCGAGGCCAATCCTCCTCTTTCTGCCGAGGAAGACTGGCCCTGGGCTAACATCCGTGCCCATCTTCCTCCACTTTATATGGGACACCGCCACAGCACGGCCTGACAAGCGGTGCATTGGTGCGCACCCAGGATCCAAACCTGCGAACCCTCGGGCCGCCGAAGTGGAGTGCGTGCACCCAACCACTACGCCACCGGGCCAGCCCCTGAAAATTATTTTTAAAAAAACATTTAATGTCTCTTGAAATTGTTCTCGGGGAACATTTATTCGGGAAAATGAAACATTTATGCAAGAATATCTACTACATCTCAGTAAGAACTGTGTCTCCAACCAGCACCTACTCATAGGGTGGAAGTTCTAACCTAAGCCTGTAGATCAAATACTAGGGCCCTGTTGCTCTCACACCAGTTCACTTGTCTGGCAGAGGTTCCATACCAGTAGAGACAAGCCATGAAGACCACAGGCTTCCACCCTACCCAGCACCCAGCTCACAAAGCAGGGGTGTCACTCTAAGAAAAATGGGCCACTGTTCTCATGCCCAGCTCTAGAGTAATGGTGCACAGGATTCCCCCAAGGGGTGGAGGAGGCAGAGAACAGAGAATTCTAAAACTCCCCAAGGAAACTGACTTTATTTGAAACAGATCATGAGGAAGTTCATGCCTAAGAACATTGTCAAAAACAATGGAGATTTTGATGGTAAGCAAATAAGAGGAGGCTATTAGTTCCATGAGAACAACAAGCTAACAAATAGATCATCAAGAAGTTAATCAGAGAGAGAATCAGGGAAAGAGATAGCTGAGAAGAGCCCTCTTATGATCAGAAGAGGCTCAAAGAAGACTGGCTTCAAAGACTACTTCTGCAAAAGGGACAGAATTTAATTAGACAAGACTGTGGAACAACTTATGCCTCAACAATTTGTTGTCAGAAACGATAGAGCAATCAGCTGGCAATTAGTGGAAGCAACCAGCCACGTGTAATACCGACAGAGGCAGAGCCTGAGAGATCAGAGAAAGAGTCAAAGAGAGTCCTGCTAAAACCAGTCATCCCAGGGTAACTGTACACATGCCCAAGGCTGTGCCCTCTGAGGAATGACAGTGGAGGCTTCACACTACAGGGAAAACAGACATCACTGAAATAGTCCAGCCAAGACTAAACAAATAAGTCAGAAACAACAAGCCAAGGGGTGGTGGACCAGAGGGATCAGCATCCAGAATTGGTACAAAAATACTATATATCTACATTATATTATTATATATGCACTTGTCCAGTTTCCAACAAAAAAATTATGACATATACAAATAAACAGTAAAAAGTGACCATACGCAGGAAGAAAAACAGGCAACAGAAACTCCCCTTGAGAGGGCTCAAATGTCAAAATTAGCAGACAAAGACTTTAAAGCAGCTATTTTAAACATGTTCAAATAACTAAAGGAAACCATACTTAAAGAAGTAAAGGAAAGCATGATGACAACATCTCATTAAATAGAGAATATCAATAAAGAAAGAAATTATTTTTAAAAAACCCAAATGGAAATGCTAAAGGTAAAAAGAACAATAACTGAAATGAAAAATTCACTACAGTCGCTCAACAAATTTGAATTGGCAGAAGAAAGAATCCATGAACTTGAAGATAAATCAATAGAGATTATGCAACCTGAAGAATAGAGAGAAAGAGAATGAACCAAAATAAACAGAGCCTCAGAGAAATGTGAGATACCATTAAGTGTACCTATATATGCATAACAGGAGTACCAGAAAGAGAGGAGAGAGAGAAAGCAGCAGAAAAAAATAACCAAACAAATAATGGCTGAAAACTTCTCAAGTTTGATGAAAAACATTAATGTGTAGATCAAAGAAGCTCAACAAACTCAAAGTAAGATAAACTCAAAGAGATCCACACCCAGAAACATCACATAAAACAGTAAAAGCCAAAGACCAAGAGAAATCTTGATAGCAGCAAGAGAAAAATGACTTGTCACATACAAAGGAGCCCAATAAGATTAACGGCTAATTTACAATCAGAAATAATGAAAGCCAGTGGGATGACACATTTAAAGTGCTGAAAGAAAAAAACTGTCAACCAAGAATCTTATATCAAGCAACACTCTTTCAAAAATGAAGGCAAAATAAAGACATTCCTAATAACCAAAAGCTGAGAGAATTCGATACTAGCAGACCTGCTTTATTACAAGAAACACCAAGAAAAGTTCAACAAGCCAAAAGCAACTGACCCCAGATGGAAATTCCAATCTACATGGGGGAAGAAAAGAGTGCTGATAAAAGTAATTATGTAAGTATAAAACACAGTATAACTGCATATTTCTTAACTGTTCTTCTCTTAACTGACTTAAAAAGCAACTGTATAAAACAACATGTTTATAACTGTATTGTTGGGCATATAAGATACAGAAATGCAATATATTTGATAATGACAGCACAAAGGAGGGAAGTGGGGGCAAAGCTGTACTGAAATAAGGAAGTGACACCAGCTGGTAACTCAAATCCACAAAAACAAATGAAGAGAACTGGAAGTGGTAAATAAAAAGGTTAATACAACTATAAATAGATACTTAATCTCTTTTCTTACCTCAGCTTCCTTAAAAGACAAAATTATAAAAGTAATAATTATAACAATGTATCATTGAGTTTCTAACATATATAGAACATGTATAATAATATTAGCACTAAAAAGGAAAGGGAATAGAGCTCTATAGAAGTACTGCATCTGTATTTCATTGTAAATCTGAAGCAGATTCTGATAACTTAATATGTATATTAGTAAGCAAGCAGCAAGAAAATAACTTAAATGAAAAACATTAAAAGGAACAAAATGTTACACTAGAAAATATTCACTTAATGCAAAAGAAAGCAGTAAAGGAAGAAGAGAGAAACAAAAAAGACTTGACATATATAGAAAACAAAAAGTAAAATGCAGATATAAATCCAACTATATAGATAGTAACATTAAATGTGAATGGATTAAACAATCCAATAAAAAGGTAGAGATTGTCAGACTAGATTAAATAAACAAGACCCGACTATATGCCATGTACAGAAGACATACTTTAGATTCAAAAATACAAATAGGTTAAAAAAAAAAAGGATGGGAAATGATAGATCATGCAAACAGCTACCATAAGAAAGCTGTAGGGGTTATATTAATATCAGACAAAATAAACTTTAAAACAAAAATATGTTACTATAAGTAAAAAAGAACATTTCATAATTTAAAGTACCAATTCATCAGAAAGATATAGCAGTTATAGATATATATATGCACCTAACAACAAAACCCCAAAATACATGAAGCATAATGACAGACTGAAGAGAGTAATAGACAATTCAACAATAATCACCCGATCTTAACACAAAGAAATTATTCCGGATTATCCAGTGGGTCCAATGTAATCACAAGGGTCCTTTAAATGTAGAATAGAGAGGAGGAAGGTCAGACTCTAGACTGGCCATTACTGGCTTTCAGGATGGAAGGGGGCCACGAGCCAAGGAATGAGGCAGTCTCTAAAAGTTGGAAAAGGCAAGGAAATGCATTCTCCCCTAGAGCCTCCAGAAAGAATGCAACCCTGTGAACAGCTTAATTTTAGCCCAGTCAGACCCATTTCAGACTTCTGACCTCAGAACTGTAAGATAATACATTTGTGATGTTTTAAAGCACCAAGCTTGTGGTCATTTGTTACAGCAGCAATAGGAAACTAATGCATATGCTAACAAACTACCCGCCTAAAAAAAAAAAACCAGATTTTTCTTACCTATATCCATTGGTCGTTCTGTATTTAAACTATCCGTGCTGCCCTGACGTCCACCTAAAGGTGTCTTTATTTGTTGATCTGATAATTTCCCAGTACTGACAGATCTAAAAAGAAAAGAGATGTTAATAATGGAAAAGTATACTTTAAAAAAATCCAGACATTTAAATAATAAGGGCGATTTAAGCCAAGCCATAAAAGGGTTAATGGGAAGCCAGAGAACAAGGAGACAAAAATAGATACCAAACAATTCAAGGTAGAGATAAAACGTCAATAACCAAAATAAACAAAAGGCAGAAATAGAATATTCAGGAAATTCAGGAAGAGCTCTGTATTTACACAGTTACAGGAAGCATCTATGGTTTTAAGAGATTCTAAATGTATACAGTTCATATCATTAACTATGTGGCATAAACCAGCTACTAAACTAATTTGGTCTGGCTGTTTTTACAATAGAAATATACGTACTATTAGTTTTCGTGTTTAAGGCTGGAAGGAACTGGCATCTTTTACCTGCCAAACACTGCCTTGTTCTGTTGCTCAGACTTCTGCCTCTCACTTCCTTGTACTAAAAGACAATGAGAGCATTCCCGTGGGTCATTCTCATCTTTAGACTGCTCTTCAGAAGGCCCATGACGAGTAACCAAGGCTAGCAGGTTGGAAGATGCTTGCGTTTTAGGGATTTTGAAAGGAGCTGTGGTCTAAAGAAACACGTAAGCTAGTTATTACGATGCGTGAAACATTTAAAATTGACAAGCTGCATGGCACAGCAATCAGGAGCACAGACCCTGAAGTCCATCAGACCTGGATTCAAACACTGACTCTTCTACTTGGAGCCTCTGTGACCTTGGACAGTTTATTTATGCTCTCTAAGCCTCAATTTCCTTTTTTTCAGGATTAAATGGGACAATGTATATAAAGCATTCAGCAGTGAAGGACTTACACTATGACTGGCACATAGCAAGTGGTCATTTGTTACAGCAGCAATAGGAAACTAATGTACATGCTAACAAATTACCTGCCTAAAAAGGAACCAGATTTTTCTTACCTATATCCACTAGTCGTTATGTATTTAAACTATCCGTGCTGCCCTGATGTCCACCTAAAGATGTCTTTATACCTAAATTTTAGCTATTCTCATCATGAATCCTTTCCACAATGTTCTTACTATACTAGTTCATGAGCTACTGTTGAGAGTTCAGCTAAGCTACTCCATAGTATTGCTGCCTCTGCATTTTTTTTTTTTTTTTTTGGTGAGGAAGATCAGCCCTGAGCTAACATCCAATGCCAATCCTCCTCTTTTTGCTGAGGAAGA